GATATCAGTAGTTGTTTCGTTATTAAAGCATTCGATTTTTAATAGACCTTAAAGGCTGAAGGTTCTTTTTGTTTCTATTTACTATAGAGGTAATATCTGATTAGTTGGTTTATAACATTTAAAAAATATCAAAGATTTTTGAACACACTGAACAAAGGTGGCATTTTATTGAATCAAAAAAACAGTTTTTTTTTGGTTTAAATATTGAATGAAATATATCAGAAAATCCTTTTTTTTCCGATGTTTACTAATTCAAATTTTTATTTTATTTTTTTTTCATCTTTTTTTGTTGACACAATTATTTTACTGATTCCTTTTTTATGTTTGCTCTTCTTTGTTCTTTTTTTTTTAATCTAAAGCTTTGCTGCTAACTGATCTATTAATTTCAAAAATGAAAAAAAAGAAATTAAAAAATTCAGTGATTGAAATAATATGTCTAGGAAATATTTGTTGAAGAAGAAGAAGAAGAAGAGAAAAAAGAGGAAACAAGCTAATAACTAATTATTTTAATGATTAAATGATTAATTAATTTTCACTAAACAATTCTTAGTGCGGAAGCGGATAGTTGAAGTTGTCAAACTTTTCTTTGGACAGTAAACTGGAGGCTGGGATAGTCAGTCTAAGGAATCGTTAGGATTTTGTCTGCTTAGATGTATCATTTGTTGACTTCAGTTAACACTAGTTTATGCCTTCTGTAAGCCTACTATTTAGTCTTATTATATATTTATTTTGGACTTATTATATATAATCGTCTTTTTGTGTAAATTCTTCTTTTTTTTTCAATACGTATTTTAGAATTGAACTTATACTTCAGAGTTTAATCGGAATCTTCAACTTTTAGGTAATCGGTATTTGTAAATCTGTAATAGTCACTTATTCAATATATATTTTTAGATATGTTAAATGCATTTTTTCTTGCAAAAAATTAGTCAATTTATGTTTGATTATTGATGCTGTCTGATAATGAACGATGATTGAAATATGAAATGAGCAAAAACTGTATTTGCAGTTTTCAATCCTTTTTCAATTCTTTCTTTTGTTATTGTTATTTCACTGTGCTCTGAAATTGACGTCAAACTTAATGACGCATATTGAAAAGTTTTGTCAAATTTAACAGTTTAGCAGATAGTTTCTTTGTTTTTTTTTTCTTTTGTTGCTGTTAATAATTTTACATTTTCAGGTTGTTATTAAATGATAAATTTTTTTTGATTATTGTCTGTAAATAAATGGTCTTCGAACAACCTTCAAATGCGAATACCGCCAGTACTTCATCGTTAACGTTGCCAAAAAAAGTAATACTTTTCAATTTTGCATCTATATTTGTCTAAATAATTTTCTTTTTTTTTTTTATTATTATTAGACAAATTTGTAGCTGGAAGTATTAATAGATTTGTGTTTTTAATCTTCAAATTTTTTAGTTAGCATTTCTTTTTTTTTTTTTTGTTTAAGAGGATAACCTTAAAAATGAAACTAATTTTTGGTTTTTCAATGTTCTTTCGTCTCGATGTTCAACTTTTGAATGTCGATTAAAGTTACTGAAAAATTCATAAAGATTTGTTTCTCTGAAGCAGCAATAATTATGCGACGATAGGTTTTTTTTTACTTATTTGAAGAATTTTGCTGCAAAAAGAAAAAATTATTGGGTTAATTTTATAAAATTTTTCTAAAAATTCTTTACCATTGCAGTAAGGGTGTTTTATTGGTAAGTAAAAAAAAGAAACAAATAAATTGGTTTCAGTCTGTTAAAATTGTGCATACTGTAAAGTTTTGGTTACTGCAATATGATTACTGCAAAAAAAAAAAAAAAATAATAATGTGAATTGGAGAAGCAATTTTTTGGTTCAGAATTTTCTTTCCTTTCTTTATCACAGTCAAAACACGATGGACTTATATTATTTATTATTCGGAGTAAAAAGAGGCATCAAAAAATTGGTTGTAGTTGGTAGTCATATTTAATATTTAAAAGAAGCATTAATTAGGTGACCAATTCACTTTTGCAACAGGATTTTTGGCTTATTTTTGATGGAAAATTTTTCTAAGTTTTTGATCCAGAAAAAGAATGTTTTCTATTGAATTTTGTCATCTGATCAAACAGTTCAATTATAAGGCAGTTAGCAGTGTTGAGTAAAGCCCAACAAACAGGTTTATCTTTTTTAAATTGCTGTATTTTTTTGCCATTATAAATTTGAAAAACCCATTTTTTTTTTTTGCAAAAGAAATCACTAAAATGTCACATCAGTGTATACATTTAAAATAAAATAGAAAACTGTTGATTATAACATATGATTCTAAAATTTTACTTCGTTATTCGAGTAACAAACAAATGATGTTTATTTTTTAACTCATTCCTCGAGACTTCTAACTCTCTTTGGGAACCACATCAAAAAAAGAATGTGCTTTTATGAATCTAATAAAAACTTGATCTTTTGTACAAAATTTTGATCTTGTTTGACTAGTTAATTTGAAGGTGCATAGTTTGATCATGAAAAATGTAAAAAAGTGTGGATTATTTATTGACTGAAACAGCCAATTTAAGGGGATTCTGAAACGATCGTGTTCACATAGCGGGGTTACAAATGAGCCTGTAGACCGACGAAGTCGACTGTTATCGTTACGGCTTTTTCGGCCAGCAGCAGATCAATCTGCAGAAAAAAAGTCTTCGAGGATTCCGAAATTATCGTTAACTTGGTCAGAGAAAAATGCAGGTAAATTTATAGCAAATTAGAACTGACAGTTTTTTACACAACCTGTCTTTTTTCTTTTTTTTGATTAATATTTCATTTTTGCTTTTAATTTTTCTCAATGAGTTTTTTCTTAAGTTGCTATATTTGGTGACACTACTTCTGAAGAAACTCTTGACGAGCCAGACGAAAAACCCTGCACGTCAAATGCTTCGGAGGCAAGTAGTCAAGGAACGGACTCTTATAATTTCGGTATGGTTTCTTCTGGTGTTCGATGGTATACCAATAGTTTTACTAATAGAAGTTGTAAATTTTTTTTTTTTAAGGAGAGAAATTATTTTTCAGAAATTTAGATTTTGCTTAAAAAATAATACGTCTTAGTGAAGGGAAGCTTTTGTTCATTCCTTATTTTTGAGATACTTTTGAACTTTACTTTTTTTCTGTGTTAATTTTTTCAGAACCTATTCTTTTAAATTGTAAATGGTACCATTTAATAAAATATACGTGTATTGCAGTATACAGTAAAATTAATTTTTGTAATAATAGTTTATATTTGAACACGTTATCTGTACGATATCAAAACTTTTTCAGAGTCGGTAAGGCAGACAGATATCCTCAGTGATAGTGATGATGTAGAGGAGGACAGTAGTGGTAAAAGTAGCAGTGTAAAGGAAGATGATAAAACTAATGATGATATTTCAAGTGTAACTTCTTCAACTGGAAGTTCACATATTGCCGGGAAGTGGTGGTTTGGTAAAAGTACAAGGTTGGAAATTACAGTTTTCTATCACTTTCATTTTTTATTTCCAGCAAAACTGCACAACTGATGACGTGATTTTTTCTACTTCAATTAGAAAACTGCACTAATTATATGACTTGAAAAAACTTAAAATTTTCCCTGATCTTTGAAGCAGCGGGAGAGAGGACAAAATTATGGGCAGAAAGGGTAAATGAATGCATGCATTATAAAGCCAGTAAAGATTACAGTCAGTCTTTTGAGTGCTTAAATTATAGTTTGCGATAAATTTTAAACAATTAACTCACTGTAAGACGTGTATAAGTTTTTTTTTCATATTTGTTATATTCCGCATTTAACACCTGTAAAATAACTTTTTATTAACACGTGAACTTTCCCTTTTTCTGCTATTATAGTGATGTTTTGATTAAATTGAGCACTAAGGATATTGTATAAAAAGCACGGAGGTAGTTGGTGGAAGCAAATCACATCTCTTTTCGCTATCCATCTGTACCACTCTTAGCTAACAAACAGACTTATCACTAAAACTAACTGTAATGAAACTCATTCTTAACTGTTAATAACATGCTCGGTGCTGTTTGATTAGAACCATATCTGTACAAAACTTCCAGATTTGTTCCACATTGCGAAAGACGAGGTTGTGCTGTTCAGAACAACTCGGATACATACATGACACCAACTCAACGATATACAGCACAAATTCGATCGCTGAAAAAGCAGCTTAAGTTTGAATTTTTCTGCTTTTTTTCGGTTGTTTGTTACATCTTTTTTTCAAAAGAACAGAAATCTAGTTGTCGATTAGTTGTCGGTACAAGACTTCTTAAATGACACACACATTATGAACAAATGTACGGTTTTTTTAAAGTTGAAGAAAAAATGTTAGTTTGGCCAATGATTGAGCTGTCTTTTAAAAGCAAAAACAACAACAACAAAACAACGAAAGAAAGAAACAGGTGGCACAGTATCAAAGAATTTTCTTGCATTCAAGTAGGCCAACATTTAAGTATTAAAAATCCGTCTAGATTTTGGTTTTTCATAATGAACAGTGTAGACTCATCTGTCGATGGCAACCCTGTAACAGAAGTATGCGGTTTGCTTGCATGTGTCTTTATAATTTTGAAGTCTGACTTTGTTGAATGAACAGACTGTTTCATTGTTTGCTTGTTTTCTTTTGTTGAACTTATACCATCGTTTTCAATAACATCCTTAATACATTTGGAGAACTAGAAGCGCTTTGCCATTTTTCAAAAATTTTCCAAAAAAGTTGTTGAGAAGGACATTTTAATGGACGACGGGTTGATAAAAAAGCAGAAAATAACAGTTTTTGCTAAGTGACTATATGTTTGGAAATATTAGTTCAGTCAGACTAGATTAGAACTCTAATTTTTTATCGAGGCCCATCTTGATTTATACATTTTGATAACAGCGACCTTGTTCCCGAATCTCAACTGTGGAAAAAAGAGAGTTTTGTTTGTAATTCTTTTTTTTTTTTTTTTTTTGTTACCAATTGGCTGCGGTAACTGTTAGTTTGCACTAAACATTTTCAAAGCCTCGCAATTCATAGCAAGCAAGCTAACTGAAGTACGTTTCAGAGCTTTTTAAAAGCGGCTTCAATTCTGCTTTCAAAATGAATTTATTAAAATGAACAAAGAATTTTTATGGTGATCTCGGACAATTTTAGGTCTGTGTTAGAAAAATTAGAGGAGAAAGAGGCTCATCTAAACCAGCTTAAAAACCGGTTGAACGAACTTGAAGGTTTGATTGACGCCGGTTATGCAGTTCGGGAAAAAAAACGGCAACTCAAAGAAGAATACGAACAGCTGAGCGAAGAAATTGACAATGAGAAAGTAAGGGCAATTTAAAAAAGGGTAAAGATGATGGATAACTTTTGTTAGCGGTACATGTCGTTAGCGATAAAAAATACAACATTTCAAAAGCAAGAAACAGTATTTGTTTGACCAGAGTAAAATTTGAGCAGGACAAAAAGCAAGAGACGTCTGAAGCTCCGAAATCGCCTTCACAGACTGTGAAGCTTTTTTTGGCGTTAGAAGACTTAAAATGCCGCCAAAGGGCTTCTGCCGAAAAGGAGACTATGACTGATGCTGCGATTGGCCCAGAACTTCCAAATTTCTTGCCCGTCCTGCCTTCTTCTCCACAACCAGAACTGATGCAGTCACCGAACTTCTCATTGCAACGTGAACTGCTGCTGCAGCTACAGGTATTTCCACCAAACCTATCATCTATTTCATTTTTAGAGAGCATTTTGAAGCAAAGAAAACAGTAGTAGTTTCAGAATGTTACATCGCTCTTTACTTTTTGTTACTTACGTTTAAAAATTTGCAAATTAACAGGCATATCAAAACGAAGTAGTGGTGTGGAGAACTAAAGCTGCCCATCTGCAAGCTTTACTTAAGGAGAAACTTCTAAAGCGTGACCAGCTGGAGATGACCAGCTCTGCAGAAGGCTTGCCAAAGGAAAAAAAACGGCAATTTTTTGAATTTACAGTAGTCCATGCTCTATTTTGAATCGTTCAACATTGAAAAATTTTAGCTACTAAAAATTTTTAATATGCAGCGAGTCCAAAACCTCAGCACTAGCTCTAAATTTAGAGCTTCTCTGTTACTTTTCATATGTTTTAGGTTAGATATGCGATGGTCAATTGACGATTTAAAGCTTAGTGCTCATCGTACTGTGCTGTCTAATGAAAAGACGTTAGAAGAGAATAAAACGACCTCAAAAAATTGTACTTCTCGTTCATGTTTAGAGGCGAAAGCGAGGCTAAAGCGAGAAAATGAAAAATTGCGTAAAGAAGTATATTTCGGCTTTTTCAAGAGTGAACTGTCTAGTTTTCAGTGGTGCTTGGAAAAATTATCGACCAGAGAGCAATAAAATTTCCATCCATCTAGATTGAAAATCAAAAAACTGAATTCGATAACTTGGACGAGCAACTAAAGAAATTAAAGACAGAGATGTCAAGATGTCAGAATGATCACAGCGAAAACTTTGAAGCTCTGCAGAGCATGAAAAAAGAATTTGAACAGTCCGCTGCCGAAGTTCAGGCAGCAAATATGACAATTATCAGGCTACAGGTTCGTAAGGCAACAAAAGACAACTCGTTTTTTTGTGCATTGCAAATACGGGTAGTTCTTGGAGAAAAATCAGTTGCATATTTGTTAGCCCTTCGTTTTTATTCAGTATTAACTCACAGCAACACTTATTTATTTTATGTTTCATTTTCATTTTAAATTCATGCTGTTTGTACATTAAAATTATTGATAATTAGAATCATGCTGAAAATTATTCTAGGATGAGGTTTCGACTAAAACGAAAGCTATGGATTACTTAGAAGAACGTACACAAGCATATCGGAATATAATTCTTGACAATGATCTTATCGTACCCGATGAGTCAACAGAAAACTGGCGACGTGGATTTGCGGACCCAAGATTTACAGCGAATCCATGCAAAAAGATACAGACACTATTGACTTCTGAAGATCTGCAGCATCGGGAAGCGCATTTCCACGATTTAAAGGATAAGTTCAAGGCAAATTATATAAAATTTTTTTGAGATCTAGGCTAACAATCTGTACAGGGCGGAGAAATCAATCTTTTTTCCCCTTTTTTCCTGTTCATCAAATTTTTTTGACCACTCTTTGCTCTTTATTTTCTTTTCATCTCAATTTTAGTTCAGTATTTTATGATCTTGTGCCACTTCAAAAATAAAAAGACGAAATTGTGTAGGTACTCGAAGAAGAACATTCCACAAATGAATCTAACTGGAGAGGCAAGGTGCGTGAAGTTGAGGAAAACCTATCGGCAAAAAGCTGTTTAGTCGAGTTATTGACAGCAGAATTAGAAAAAAAGGAGCAGTCCGCAGAAGAAATGATGGGAAAATACCAGAAGGAAAAGCATGAACTGGAATCAAAGATTACGGGGCTGACTAAACTGGCTGATCGTGTTCCAATTTTGGAGAATGAATTAGATAAACTCCAGCAAGTACGAAATACATTATTAAACCTATAAAGTCTTTGTCAATAACTTTCACACTTTGCCGTAGTGATGGACGAGGCTTAACGATCAAATTCAGGCAGTTCCTTGCGGGTAAATCACAGATTGTTTTTCAGGAAAAGAGTCTGATGCATCTTCAGCTACAGGACGCAAGGGAGAAGTTTGACGCTGACCTTGAGACATCATTAACTGAAACTTTAAAGAAGTATCAACAGCAGAGTTCATACTGGACTGAAAAAATGAATGCTGTTAACGAAATCAATGAGAATCTAAGGGTAAAATTATTAGTTATTTTTATATAAGACTGATTCTTATAGCCTTAAGATGACCACGAATAGTCTTTTGATTGATCTAAAGCTTGTACTTCATTGATGGGGTAATTATGTAACTCATTTTAAAAAAAATCCGATTTAAATTAACTTAAAGAACTTACAGGGGAAAATTATTATTCTTGAAAGGGAAATAGATGAAATGAAGCTTCGTAATAAGGTTGAAAAAGCTGATATGTCCCAGAAGTTGACATCCAGTATACAAAAAGTTGATCTTCTGAGAAGTCAGGTTAGAACTCTGAATGTTTTCAAAATTTCAAATTTCTACGGCTTTAAAAACTTTGTTTCTCAATTGTCAGCTTCAACTAGCAGAAAAAGACTGTTAATGCGTCAGTTTTGGGAATATTTTTGATGAAGGTTTGTTTCTTCGCTTGATCTTCGCTGTCCAGGCTATCCTTCGGGGACTGTATACCCGATTGTAGATTAATCGCTCCACTCGCGACGTAGAAGTTGAGGCGCGACCCAGTTACAACAGTAAATACGTTGCTTGTAAACCTAATACAAAAAATAAATTCACAGAAATTAAGAAAGGGGATTTGTTTGATGAGATGGAGGAACGCCTGAAACTTTGCCAGGGTGAACTACTTGCAACCAGAAGACAAGTTGAGGTTTTACAACAAAAACTAGTGGATACAGTTCAAACTCAAGTAATCAGCTTGAAAATCTTTTTCAGATTTGTTTCTGTATATTGTTCTATAAAAATATTTTCATTTTTCGCACTTATTCTATTATTTCCTCTCGGGTGTTTCCCATTAATTCTCAAATTTCTTTAAATTTTTTTGCCATACAAGTGCTTACTGAGTCACAGAAACTCTTACAAATTTGCTTAGGTGGCTGATCAAAAGAGTACTTTACAACTTCAAACGATGATTCGAAATGCACAGAAAAAAGATAAAGCAACAGAAGCTGACAGTATCACGGAACGAAATAACGAAATTGATCGCTTAAGAGAAAAAGTTGACCAACTGGAGCAACAAAATTTTGAACTTACTTCGGAACTTTCTAAGGCTGAAGAAGAAAAATGGAATTTAGCATTGATGAAACATCAGGATATGACGCAGCTCGCTGCAGAATTTGAGAGTGTACGGAAAGAGCTTGACCAGGTTTGTTTTGAGCACTTAGCTTCAAGGACAGATAACACTGCCAGTTTTCACTTATGCAGTTCAAAAAAGTTGCTGAACTGCAGAACTAGCCGATATTTGCCGTGAATTTCTTTCAGTGGTCAACTTAATTATTTAGGGACAGCTCATGGATTATCAGAAAACAGCTTCATTTATTTTAGTTTAACGAGTGTCATAAATAACCTCTACTTTTTTTCTTTTTAGGAAATTAGCAAGTATGAAAAGGAACGCTGTCGGCTTAAAAATCGAATAAAAGCATTAACAAAGGCAAAGCTTGACAGAGATTGGCTTATACAGAGTTTGAAGAAGCATGAGCTCAGAACCAACGGAAAGTTAAATCATACTCCGATTTTCAGGTAAGGAGTGAAAAAGCAGAGGCAGATAGATTATTATTTGAAGCAGTGGCTGAGCACAATGAAAGTTAAGTAATAGTATGTTAGATATGACTATCACTGCACGGTGGGATTTTTAGGTGTATGTCAGTACCCCATATGAGGAAAGATTCTATTGCTGATGAATTACAAACTGCAAGAGCTTGTAACTCGGTTCTTAAACGCATCAACGCAAACTTGAAAAAAGAATTGATGATCATAAGGCGTTTGATTGAAAGTTCTATTCAAAATAACGTCTTTCATATAAATAGTGATTTAAAATCGCAATCATCAAAAGAGTTTTTAAAACCAGGATTTAACGATTTAGCTTCTGATCTCAACCAGGTAATTTTATGCTGGAAATTTTTTTGTCGTTAAAATATTTTATTTTTCAGTTTCTTTACTGCCTTCCCGTTCTAGGTTCGAAAGGAACTGGAAAATATAATTTTCCAAATAGATAGGAATGCGAATCCGCGGGACTCAACAAAATTAAGCGAATCTACGAGTACAGTATCTCTTTCACAGGTAGCAGGTTTACTTTTTACCTCGCTGTATAAATTTATTTATTTATATATTTTATAATAAGTATATTCATCTGCTTGAAAAACTTGACTATTTTTACAAAACAGTCAGAAACTTTTTTGAAGGAAGAAAAACCTGAACTTCGATTGGAAAGCGATTTAGATCGACTGCGAAAGGCACTAAAACGTTCATGGGCTGATCGTGAAAACCTCAGTAAGCAGCTTGATCGAATAACTGCCGAATTTCAGGAATTTTCTGTTGGACCAGACAGTACCAAAAACTTTCTGCAGCGTTCTTATCTTTACGATGAAAGGCCACCAATAATGAGGAGCAGAAGTTTCGCTGGTTTAGCCAAGTGGTATATGCAATATTTAGCAGAAAAGTTTAAATTTCATTGAACTCCACTGTTACGTAGATTAATTTCAAAAAAATGAAATAGCGCGTTTTCCCTTCAAATAAATAATTGTCCAAAAGGGCATTAGATAAATATTTTAGTAAAGAGACATAACAGAACTTTTCCAGGTGGAGTGAACAGATTCAGTCGAGTTGTGAAGCAAACGGCGGCAAAGGTTTTGCTGTGGTACCATTTGTTTGCCCGTCAGAAGCATTAATAGACCATCGTACATTACAATCCGTGGATTCCAATCATCTAACCAATTCAACTTCTTGGGACTCTTTTTTGATGTCGGATAAGCGAAAAAAAGTTTGTGCAATGTTCATTCTGTTTAATATGTGTTACTAAGCATGATGGAGGATGGTACAATGTAGTAATATAAGTGGGCTTTAAAAGCGCAACCAGAACTTTCTACTAATCTTATTTGATCATTTCAGCGTCTCAAAGCGACCCAGTGGAAGAGGTTATGTCAAAGTATGACTATATTAGAAATGGCCGTGGATCACCAAGTTGATGAATATAAATTGGGTTCTGTTAGGGAGAATATAACTTTGAACAGGTAGGCGCATCAATCAAGTCTGCAAAATTGTACTAAACATCCTAAAATTTTTGAAAGGTATAGAGTCGGATTGATGAGTACAGCATTAAGATAATATCCAAAGGGTATATGCATTTGTATGTTGCAGAGATGCATGCAAAAGTAATTATTCGACGGACCTAACGAGCTTGATTACAAAAAATAAAGACGATGCTTTGTATAATATATTTTCGGTTCCAGACGATCTCGAAAGTTTAAAACGAGCGAACAAGAGTCTGAAGTGTGAAAATATCAGACTGAACAACTTCAAGGTTTAGTACATTTACAAATATCTGTTGTTTTACCAGCAAATCTGATCAAGGCCGCGGTGATAGCGATCCAGTTTTGGAAACTGGAGTTTTTTAGATATTAGCAGCCAAGAAACGTAAAATGAGGAAATGAAAGCAGTAACGTTACAGAATGCACGAATCAATGATCTCAAGACTAAAGTTACGGTTCTCCTAGAACAGAATGAAAGTCTTGCTAAGAAGCTGGACGAAATTGAGAAGGAGAGACAGGAGATGTATCTGATTATGTTCAAGAAAGGAAGACAGGCTGCTAAGCATGACATTGATGAGGTATTGATAAACTATTTGAAAAAAAAATTGTCAAACAATTTTGTATTTTAAGGTTGTAAAGAAAGTTAACTGACAATTTTAGCGACATTAACTGATTGTCTAGAGCTCAGTTCAGGCGTTTATCTGTAAACCAGACTTTTTTTTTGCATATAGTATATAGGAGAAGATTGATATTAAATAAAGTTTATTTCAGCTAAATACGTACAACGAATTAACTGAGCACCATGTTGTCCTACGATTTTTACACGATGCCTTCTATTACTACCTGCTCAATAAGGGCGACGCACGAGAGCACTTACAGGTTAGTTAATTTTTATGTACTTTGTATCTGTATTACTTTTACAAATTCTTTCAAAACGTTCTTCTTTCCCTATGGCAGAAAATTTTTGCTCTATGAACTTTGGCGAGGTTTTCAAACATTTTTGAAATTACTGGCTCTCTTTGGGATTACTTTACAAAGCCAAGTGTCCCTAGTGTCTGGTAAAATTTTTTGCTTCCTTTAATTAGTCGACGGAATGAAGCAGCTACAAACACTTTATGACTTTTCTACGCTGCCTTTTAATACCGTGTAAGAGGTCGAATGGTTATTTATCCTATCTGCAGTTGCCATAAGGAATCGAAATTGTATGCTGTGATGAGAAACTGTATAACTATTTGTTAAAATTTCGATTAATTTTTGAGGTTTACAATTATTAACGACGAGATAACAGCTACAGGACTAAATTTTTTGATAACCGTTTTTTCTGCCTAATGCTATCGTGAAGAAGAAATAAATTAGTTTGCAGCGCATGCGGTTTTTAATCTGCTGTAACAAAAAAGGCTTTAATTTCGCAGAATTGTAAATTTTTGCACTGAAAGTTGTTGGTTTATGCACAAGCAGTTTAGTTGTTGAGCAGCACTCTTCACTAATACTGACGCTGTAAAGCACTGTTTCCTATCTTTTAATAGTGTAGTAAGTATGTAAAAAGAAAGAAGAAAGAGATTTATAGCTTAACAGAATCAGCAATGACTTTTTGATGGTGAAAGTAGTAATATTTTGAGATGCACTTTATTCTTAATAATTTTTCAAGGCTCTTTGATCCAGTATTTTATCACCTTTAGGTATATTTACGTTCTGCACAACTTCTGCTTTTCTAAATTAGATGTTGGTTCAAACAAAATAAGCTAAAGGTATTTAAGTTGGGTCCATATTTTAACCATGGAAGAGAAAATTTGAAAAGAACCAGTTATCAGGTTATTAATAAATAAGTAAAAAGTAAGTCAGTAATTAAGTTTCTAAAAAAACTATT